AGGGGGGGGGTTGTTGAGGTAGATTCCCTGTGTATTATTATTGTACGTGCTTTATGATAGGCTTTAGGCCTATTAATAACAAAATGAAAGGCACCGAACGACCTTGCTTGTCGAAAAACACCAAAAGAACTGAAAGCAGTGGTTGTGGGATTCATATGGCTGAACCAAATCAAAGACTTTTATACATGTACAATGTATAAAAAACAAAGCAAAACACAACAGCATACCTGGCAAACATTCGTCGTCCTCCCCAGTGCTATAGATAGGCCTATAGGCCCTATATATTACATGCCATGTATACTAGTACCTACTAGATATAGGCCTACGTACGTCTTTGATCCTTAGTGTTGACTACTACTATTTCAGTAGCTTATTATATCTGATATGTTCCGATTATGATCTCTATTATCGCCAGGTGCACGATTATTTTGTCTCACTCAGAAAGAGAATGTCGTCTACTCGATCGTTCTCTAATCTGACCTTCGATAAGCTGGGTACGTACTCATTTCAATCGATAAGGACAGCTGACGGCCGATAATGAAAGTGCCTGTTTGAAGGTAATTTGGATATTTTAAAAAAAATGAAATTATGTGTTTGTCATTGATAGGCCTCATATCAGAGTTTATGCCCTCGGGCTGGTTTTCCTTCATTGCAGGCTGTATTGAAAAAATTGTTGTAGAATAATGAGTGCAAGAGTGTGAACGCCCCCCCCCCAAAAAAAAAACCAAAACAAAACAAACAAACAACCCCAACAACAACAACAACCACACACACACAAAAACAACAAAAACAAAACAAAATGAACAACAACCCAAACAAACAACAAACAAATAAACAAAACAAAACAAACAAAGAAACCAAAGAAACAAAATTAAAACCAAAAAAATAAAAATATTGAGAAACATAATAATTAAGTTAAAATTTGTAGTCATTTCCTTGCGTCCTCGAGATCACTACTGATGTCAGGACTATGTTGGCTGTATTCTGTCGTGACCCCAAGTTAGGGTTTCCCCTTTTTAGTTTCCCTTGTATTTATAACGTAGGCCCTAGGCTAGCCTACAGTTTATTCTCCCACGTTTCCACATTTCCGTATGTTTGTTATTTTCTATCGTTTCTAGGCTGTCGGCTCACCACAGCGTGGTATGGATTCTCAAGACACTAGCAAGTTTTTAAAAAATAAAAGAATATAATAAACGAAGCATGTTCGGCTTCAACGACATGTATTTGTACATTTAAGTGTGTACCACAACGTACAGCAACGAGGATATGAACGTCAAGTCATTTTAGGCTCTGAGCGAATGAAACTTTAACCCCCCCCCCCCCCAAATTTAACACCTTCTCGGAAAAAGGCAGCCATGTATGTGGGCTTCTCGAAATGACGTCATCAGTTTTTGTTGTGCTGGATCTTCGATTCTTACTGTTTGTATGTCAGCGGATAGATCCCAACGGAGGGAGAAAATGGCCGATGCTTCAGTGTTTAGCACAACATTGCTGAAGATTGCCTATTTCCCACGGTGAATGACCCCATGCTTCTGATTTCTCTGTCATGGAGAAACCATCAGGTGTAGCGACAACTGCATGTGTGCTTAGTGTTGTTTACTGTACGTCTTGATAGAAACAGGGAAGTCTGCAAATAGATGCACTGAACGACGAAGCACGTCTTCCAGAATCGGAAATACCAAATTCGTAAGATTAGCTTTCTTTCTGGTCCAGGTGCAAGAGTTTGCAGGATGTCAAGCTCATAGGGAGAGAGTTCTTCTGATATTAATAAGGCATGCTGTTAGATGCAGAGTCCTTGTCTTTTCATATGTGGAGAAGGTAGGGCATGTTTACTTTTGGATTATAAATCTAATGTAAATGAAGGCTACTATTATTATCAGTTTTTTTTGTTTGGAAGCCTTTTTGTTTAGGGTTTGGTTTAGGTCTGGGTGTCTAATTTAATCTTAAATTTTTCTTAAGTGATTATTCACACCGGGTGTGCGTATATTAATATTATTCGCACCGGGTGTGCAAATAAAAAATAATTCTATTCGCATAGGGTCAAGCCTACGTTGATTTTTGGAGACCTCGTTTGTCTCACCCGGGTATCCCACCTTTTGGCAAGGCAAAGGCTTTTTAAATGTTAAAAAGACTGTTAGTATGATATTAGAAATCTAGATCTAGATTCTAGATCTACTTGTTTAAATATTTTTAGGGTTAAAGCATGCACTCTTCTCTATCTCTCTCTCTCTCTTTCTCAAGGCGCAAGGAAAACAAAAAAAGAAAAAAAGAGAGACTTGAGTTTGAGTCATTAGATCTATCATTATCATTGACACCATCATGGCATAGACAACTTGAATTCCAAATTGAGTGGGGGGGGGTTTCGTATCGCATTGCACTTGTAATTAGAATTAGATCTAGAATCTAGATCTTAAATCTAGATCTAGATCTAGGTCTATCTCTACCAAAGATAGCACATTTAGGTATTTTTTTACTTTCCCTGCCGTCTCACACTCAGCTACCAGTTGTCTATTTTCTACTAAATATTGATGCGCTGAACACGAATATCAACTTCATTTCCGTCGCAAATTAATGGTTTTTGAAATATTTGATTGTTTTTAACCGAGATAGATAGACATGCTTTGGACCAATCGGGGGGTTCCCCACTGGGGTAAAAGAAAATCTTGGGGGTTACAGGGGGGCATGCCCCCCTGTTTTTACACCCATAATTTGATATTTTACAGTTAGATTTGAAATTGTCTTGAAAATAATTGATTTGCGACAGTTTTAGTGGCTTTATGTGTGATCTGCAGCAAACAGTACAGCAGTTTGACCCCTGAAACAGTGCATCTGTATGCGGGAGTGAAAGTAAAAGTTTACCCACATTTATGTTCACTCAGCCCAAAAAGTGTTCGCAGAAATCTGCGCTTTGCTTCAGATGGCGCTGTGGAGTCTTTGTTTTGAAGAGCTCTCTCTTTCGTTTCCCCAGAAGAAGAAAAGGGTAGATCTAGATCTAATCTAGATCTAAGCAGAGTCTGTTAATTTCAGTTTTATTGTTTTTCACCCAAGTAGGGTAACCCTGCTCGCAAAGTCCACACTTTTTCGAAGAGGGCACCAAATTTTGAGGAGACTTTTTATACTGGCTCAAAGAGAGGAGTGAACTATCTAGTTACGGATCCTGTTATTATACGTATGATCTTTGTCCCTATGCGATGAGGGGGAAAAAATGAGAAAATGCTAGGCCCAATTAATTTCCATCCTTCTTTTGAAACGCCCTGTGCCAATAATATTTTGTAGCATTCACACACCCTGTGCAAATAAAATTTCATAGTATTCACACAGTATTCACACACCCTGTGTGAATATAATTATAGTATTCACAAACCCTGTTCAAATAACTATTCATACACCCTGTGTTAATAAAATTTCATAGTATTCGCTCACCCTGTGCGAATACAATTCCATAGTATTCACACACCCTGTGCGAATAACTACAGCCTTTTTTTTTTTACTATTGTCTAGATTTAGATTCTAGTCTGTCTAGAAATCTAGATCTAGCCTACTAAAAATATAGGACAATAAAACCAGATCACATCTAAAAACAGAGATCTAGATCTAGATTCCAGACTCTATCAATAATTTGTCCGTCAGTGCAATAACTCGGCTACTGTATTGAACAAATTCCACAAGATCCGTGGTAACAGTTTTTGGTTGAGTCTGCTGTCTACATGTACACCAACATTTTAATTATAACATAATAACTACGAAATGGTTTGTGAATCTGACTCTGCAGAAATGATTTCTCCACCCAAAAACACTTCGGGTAGCCAAGTTTCTTTCTAACACTCCAATTAATTACTGAGATATCATTGTTTTTCTTACAGAATCTGCTGTATTGGGATATCCACTTTTAGGAGTATTTTCCTATATTATGAAATTTATAACTTGACACATGTGAGGCATTGTGGTGAAACCAGGTGCTCATCGAAATAATGGAGTCAAAGAAACAAGCATTTTTAAGACAGTTGGCTGAGTTGGGCATTTTATTTCGAAGTGTATACAGACTCGGTAACCAGGAACAAAGTCATGAAGTATTAAAGCATACAGACCCGGTAGGGGAAATCTTTTGTGATTTTGGAAAGTTTCAGCGCCCAGACCCGGTATAGTGTGTGTGTGTGTTTGTGTGTGTGTGTGTGTGTGTGTGTGTGAGAGAGAGATAGAGAGAGAGAGAGAGAGTTGACAGGGAGGGTATGAGAGACAGATAGAGTGGGAAAGTAGGTGGCGGAGAAAGAAAGACAGAGACAAACAAGGAGAAAGAGAAGAGGGGCAGGCAAAAAAGAGGGGAGAGAGACAGAGAAATAGAGAGGGTGACTGCTCGATTGGAATTATGACCTTGTTCTTTTCTTCAAATTGTCTAATTGATTCCTCCAACTCCAAAACGGAGGAAAAACGATGGTTTGTCGTAAATACATTCGCAATCTTTAGATATTTTATTATTAGGCCTCGAAACTAGATCTATGATATATGTCTGTCTGTCTACTAACTGTCTAGATCTAGAATCTAGACCTAGGCCATAGATAAAAAAGAACCTTGGTCTACCCTGAGCCAAGAGGGCGCTGAAACTTTCCGAAATCACTAAAGATATCCCCAACGGGGTCTGTATACTTCATGACTTTGTTCCCGGTTACCGGGTCTGTGTACACTCCCATTTTATTTTCGAAGTGACTATTTCCCCGAATTTTCATGAAAATAAACTTTGAACTCTATTTCTCCGAACGGTTTCCGTTTTTGAGATTTTTTTAATTTGCGAGATTTACGCGTCATCTTTCATTTTGCCATTTTGCGAGGACTGGGAAGAAGCATTTTTTGCATCAAATTCAATTTCTAGAGCTAGAGATTTTTAAATGTCTGAATATTCAAATACTTCAGTTGTGGTTGGGGCAACGTTCCTGGACTATATTTCATTTGAAAATACCTTCAAAAGGTACTGCGAGAAAACAAGACTGATCAACCTTGGCAGTAACCTATTTTGCATTTAGTCATCCAGCAAAAAATAAAATCCTTCTTGTAAAAAAAAAATCCCTACGCCCCATTCACACCTTAGGCCTACATGACACACACTCACACACACACACACACACACACACACACATGCACACTCACACACACACTCACACACACTGTCACGCATTCACACACACGGGCCGTTCCATTCGCAATTATTATCAACGAATCTCAACAACGGAAACCGTTAGGAGAAATAGAGTTCAAGATTATTTTCCCGAACGTTAGGAGAAATAGAGCAGGCCTTTTTTTGTGTGCATTTTTTTGGGGTAGCTTTAATTGCAACAGAGTGACGCTGTGACAAATAACGCAGCGTTAATTTTGACAGAGTGACTCTGTGATAGTTAATGCGGTGTTAATTGCGACAGTGACTCTGTGACCAAAAAAAAATTAAAACGAAAATTTAAGAAAAACAAACGCACGCACTCACACACACATACAAATACACATGCACACACACAGACACACACACACAAACACTCACACTCACAGACAAACGCACACCGCACATGCTTGTGGCTTTATAATTATGCATACACGCACACACAACGTACACACACACACACACACACTCACACACACACACACACACACACACACACACACACACACACACACACACACACACACACACACACACCAAACTAACAGACAAACAAACAAAGACAGTTGCATCTCTTTTCTTGTTGTTGTTGATTTTGTTGCCCCAAGTGGTTTTTGTTGCTGTTGTATGCTGCTGATGTTTTTTTGCCACGACTCTACTGTACAGAAAGTCTTTATGGATTTTTACCTCACTCTTTAAGTCCACCTTCTCAACTATTTCAGTTTCAGATGATTTGTTCCTACAGGCAAAACAATTTAATCTTGAAATTTAGCAAAAGCTTTGTCAAATTCGTCGTATGATTTGAATGCCTGCTCTAGAAAGCCTTCCATCTTGTCAGGCTGAGACTAGCCGAGTTAACTAGGACCACGCTGGGAGAAGCGGAAAAGGTAGATGATGTTAGATCTAGATGTAGATCTAATCATCTACGCAAAAGAGTTCCGTGTTCATTCTGTGGCAATTAACGCCGTGTTACTTGTCACTGCGTCACTCTGTCGCAATTAACACCACCTTTTTTTTTTCGCTCAACCCCTTTCATGTTCATTTAAAAACACATTTATGTGTGGGTTTCACTGGGAAAATGGCGATTTAAGGTAAAAACAGGTACATTTGCAGTTTCCAAGGACTCTCAAGCTATGGAAATTACCAAGTGCGGCCATTTTCTCGCTAATTTAACCTCTAAAACCAGGTGATCCCCTACCTCCTTCAATTGCAAGTCTCGACCTCTATTCAAGATCGATGAGTATTTTTGTTCACAGAAAGCAAGACATATGAAGTGTTCATTCAGGTGATACCATTAGCTTCACATATGCCCAAAAATTGACGAGCGCCTGATTCCACCGCATCGTGACATATTTAAGTAATTTGCAAAAAGAAAGTTGTTCTTAAACTAAAAAAGAATTAAAATCTAAAATGTGCTCAGATTTAATTTTTTATTTTCTCTTGATCTCTATACGTTCTATCTGTAGAACCCTGGCATGAAGCGGTAATTAGCATTAATCTAGTATTGTCTGGCTTTGGCAGTCTTAACAATCACTTTTGAAAAACAGGGCTAAATAAGACATGATCTACAGTTCAACTGTTTATTTGATTAATTTTTTTGTTTTACAAAGCGTTGCCTCGGAACTGATTTGTCTAAAATGCACTTAACAATAGAAAGCACTTTTGAGAAAATAGTTCTGAGGCAATGAAATCTGCATGTGATTCAAAGAGGAATTGTTTGTCAGATTTTTTCTCTATTGTTTCATTCATCATGAATTCCTCCATTAAATTATTAAATCTAGAATTGTGTTTCTTGTGAAAGTAAAAAACTAAACTGTAAGTTGGATTTTATCATTTTCATAAAACTTCTTTAAAAGAAAATAATATGTCAGTGTCACTAATGAAGCTAACATTCATGATACTGAAATGTTACAGCCATTCAAGAACTTTTCAAGTTATTACCTTATAAAAAGACCAGCACAGCACTCATGGCCCTTCCTTCCTACTTTTCACCTCAGTCAACTTATTTCTTTTTAAGCGATCACAACTACAGAAACAAACACCAGGAGGGTCAATAAATGTTGAATACAGCGATACCTCTTACTCTTTAGATTAAAGTAGTGATCAAGAACACAAAAAACACAGACAAACAAGTAGCAAAACATGAAAAAGCAAAATTATCTTTGTCAGCACGATACCAACCCTGATAGACTCGCTGTTTAAGTCAATGTTAGGCCGCTTGAGCTGGGGTCAAAGTCTACTGCAGCTGACCTCCTGGAATTGAAGAAATTTGTGCTTTTTTTAAGGTTATCTAGCTCCAAATTTGCTAATCATAGGAGTTTCATATTTACAGAGGTCATTAACATACGGAAGTTTAATTACTTTCAAGGGTTTCTGAAATCACTCCATGTACAAAAAATTGGTAAAAGTGTGAACTTTTATATTAAGCTTATTTTCACTGAAACATAACTCTAGAATTATTCATCTGATTCACATATGAATGCAATGTCATTGCTAAGTAGAATAATTCCTTGTTTGGATCTCATTATATCCTGATGTACACCAAAGGCCCTATCTTCACTGAAATGTTTCGAGTAACTTACCCTATAGCAGGGATATCATTTTTCAGTCACACTTGCACTGTCTATAGAGGCACGCTCACCAGACCATACTACCTAAAAGTAGATCATTTATTGCCCACTCTATCCCCTTCTGCTGGGAAAAAGTGAGGTCTTAGGTGGAAGCAGAGACTTGCTGTTCTCAAGGGAAAATCATATTTTGCGGTTGGGTTTTTATAATATGTGAGGCAGTGTGGTGGAATCAGGCTCTCGTCAATGTTTGTGCATATTGAGTTATTGGTATCGTCTTAAAGCGGGTTTATTTATCTTGCTTTCAATGAAAAAATTACCCATCTATCTTCAATAGAAGTGGAGATATTTTGGATTGAAGGAGGTGGGGGTCACCTGGTTTAAGAGGTATAATTAGCGAGAAAATGGCCGCCAAAGCTAGGTAAATTCCAAAGCTCTAGAGTCCATGGAAATTGTAAATTTATATGTTTGTGCCTTTAATCAACGTTTTCTGTGAAATCCTCAAAGGAATGTGTCTGTAAATGGATCTAAAAGGTGTTGAGCCAAAAATCAAAAATTTGATAAAAATTGCTAAGCAGGGAGAAAACTGCTGTTTTCTTCGATTTCATTATTTTGATGAGAGCCTGATTCCACCACGCTGCCTCACATATAGGTAATATCCATAGGCCATTGATCGAAAAACATCGCATGAAGAAGTAATGTGTTTTGTTGAGTGTGGAGAGCAATATATTAGACGGCCTGTAACAGGTAACTATGGATTTGGCTGGGTTTTTTTGGGGGGTATTTTTTTAAACATTATATTTTTTCCTATCGGAGAGTAATGAGAGTTACTCTTTGCCTATGAGGCATTGAAATAGAATCAGTTTCCTTGACTTGTATTGAATGGGGACCTCTGATTTAAAAAATTTTTTTTGGTCGTTCCCCAAGAATGTTTTTGAAAGTCATGTTGATGATACATATAATGGAACTTTGATACTTGAGATATCAGTGGAGCAACAACAAAAATGTTCACCCCACAACAAAGAGGGCCATATTTTTTGTCTGACTAACTCTTTTATTTCTCCCTGAAATCCTCAGAAATCCAGAAATTGAGAATGCACAGCATTTTGCACATGCAGCAGCGTCTGTGAAAGTGACACATAAAGTGTGATCCGAGCCTTGGCTGTTGTTTGGGAACTCATCACCATGTCCGGACAGAACTCTTCCTCGAAAACCGTGGCAGCCATACTCAAGCAGCATCAAGATCTTGTTGCTGCGAGGGAGATCACGACCAATCAGCAGCACCAGCTCCCTCCGTCTCAACAAAACAAGAAGAAAACAAAACAGAAAACAGTGCACAAGCAAGCGCACATCATTAATCATTTAACTGCTGTAAAGAATAGGAATATCCAATCATCGAATGTGGCCTCTGTGTCGCAAACAGTGAATCGCACCTCGGTAGCATCGGTGTCACAGCAGGAGGAGCTGGGCCTGGGGAAGGAGTCGAAACCAACAACCACAACAAAAGCCTCCTCTTTGAGTCGCGATTTGTCACCCTCCCGGATCACTGCTCAAATGAAAAAAGTCATGCCGGATCCATCCTCGGCGCACCCGAACCTGCTGCTATCTGCCCTGCAAGGCAATATGCCCGACCCCATGGGCCTCTTCACCCCATCCAAACCAGAGAGCATCATGGTCTCCACTATATCCGACGTCCACAACACGGCGACAGAGAACTGGAAAACCACGGTGCACTCATCTAAATCCCCCGTAGACTCGCAACTGACAACCACTGTGTTTAGTAACTCTCTCACCCCTGTGACTGTCTTCTCTTGTCCAGAAGAGACCAATGTAAAGAGTAAAAGTGCTTCAAATAACAGCCCCAACTTGCCCACAGTGGAGAATTTACTAGCCCTGTCCGCCGGCACGATTCAAACCATTAATGTATCTCACGTGCCAAAAGCAACCATTCCAACCACATCCAGCAGCTTAGGGGCGGTGTCGGAGAACACAACGCCTGGCACCTCCTCCTCTCCTAGCGTGTCAACACGCAATGCCATGGAAGTGGCGCAACAGATCAGGATGGAGGCCAATGGACAGAGTGCTAGTGCGCTGCGCACCGGCATGCAGCAACAGCTTCGCTCGCAGATCCAGGGCTCGCGGAGCATCGATGCACATCTTGCTAGTCAGCAGAACCCTGTCACTGTCGCCAAAGTGTCATCCCAAAAAGCTGCACGTCATGAAAAAGAACAAAAGGTAGATAAGGGAGATGTGAAAACTGGTTTGGTTTTTGTAAGATTTACTTGTTGAGGATCACCTGTTTATAAAATGTTTGAGAGGTGTTGTGACAAATTGTAGTTTTCTTTTTAGTTCATTGTCTTATTCTGGGTCATGGTCTGTTACCTGTAGGTATGGGGTAGGAAATCTAGCATGTTCATGAACGATGGATGAACATTAAAGAAGGAAAAATATAAAGAATGACTGATGGAATTAATATATATAATAAACTTGGGTGGTTAGCGGGTGCTCTGGTGTGGGTTACTGAACTTTCTTATCAAACATATATTGTTGTTATCACCTCTCCTTTTTTGTGTAAACATGTTACTCTCTTGCAACACCTCTAATTAGTCTAATCTTTGGCACTTATATGGCCTTAATTTTGTTGCAAGTGCCATAAAAATCATTCTAAAACCTTTAGAAAAGCTAGCATAATGAACAACAAATTTTAGGGGACTACCATTGCCTTCTTGTTTTTTAAATACTACTTTACAAATATTTAGTATGTGTCTGTCACATCATGCTCTATTCTATAAAGTATGCATCTGTCACATCATGCACTGAGGCCAGCATCGACATCACAACATGCGGTATTAAATTTGTAGCGTGACTATAACAAGCAAGGAAACTCACATTTTCTACTGTTGACTGGACGAGGGAAAGATTCGGGTTACAGTATAGCATTGCTTTCCCTGGTTAGCAGCATGATTTTATTAAGCACGTAGGACGACCAGTAAGGGTGCTATATGTTTTCTTTGTTAATATCGTATTATCTAATGCTTTTATTGTGAAAAGGCTGGTTTTGTCAGCTATTCTTGGGGAATTAGAGCTGCATTATTGTTTCTCTGAACTTTTGTAGAAATGAAGTTTTCCGCTTCAGAGTTTCTGAATTTTCATGACTAAGCCAGTTTTTCATTTATTGTTTGTGTGAGAGGGATTTCTGTTTTGCACAGGTTCAAATTGCAGCGATTAATGTGTTGGGAAACTCCTGTGTCTCTTGCCATCAAAGGTTTTCAACTTGGCAGATTCAGTTTTGACGAAAGACATGTGTCACATGAAAAATTTTCATTTTTGATTGTTCTATGTGTTCAGGCTAGACATGCCTAATTTTTATTGAGTGTTTTTTCTTTTTTTTTTTTTTTACAGCCACTGGAGGTAAGCATGCCATTGTTGGCAGCCAAACTAGCGCCCTCATCAATTCCAGGCTCAACAGCTGCTGGGTCAAGAGCATCCCTTCATGTGAAGCAGTCCACGGCTGTCGGGGACGCCCCGCTGTTGCTGTCATCGCTGACACCGTCAGGTGCCACTGCCATTGTTGTGCCGACATCTTCGGTGGCGAAAGTTTCTAGGAAATCTCCGCTCCAGAAGGTGAGCGAGTCCGGTAATTTTGAGGAGATGAAGAAGCAACTGCAGATGAACAAACAGACGTCTTCGCAGGTTGGAAAACAAGTCCCTCAGTCGTTGGCCCAGGAGGAAGTGGTGCTTAGCAGCTCCGACATCGAAGGTACGCTGGCTGCTGTGTCTGCGGCTGCTGATCAAATATGGGGGCTGGGTCACGGTAGTCCACGAATGGAATTGTCGCAAGTTTCGGCCGCTTTTGACATGCATCCTCAGCTGGAGAAAATGGCATCTCGTTCGTTGACTTCGAATGCATTACTGGAGCACACCGCCCAGACGGATCATGCCTCCAAGGCAGATGGCCAGTCACAGACGAGGAATGAGTTGGTAAGTCACAAGCTCAACTGGAACACAACACTTCCTGTCAGAGGTGTGAACTTTGACCAGCGAAAGACGCCACCCGACAAGAGAGTGAAATATGAGGTGGTAGAAGATCACAGAGGGCTAGGGACAAACCAGCAGACATCGCCAGCCATGTCCAAATATGGGGCCGGTGATTCCAAACTGACAGCTATTGACGTTGATCTCGACGTAGGGCACTTGCCCTCTATTGTGGCAGAGGAGGCTATTCACATTTCTAAAACTGTTTCAAGTGCAGGGCAGAAAATGCACGCAAATTTGTCTGTGGTCAACGTGAAAGATTCTTTCCCGGCCACCAGCCATTTTCTCCAATCGAGCCACATTCCCATCTCGGTAAACAATGTGAGTGGTTCTAGTTCAGTCCCTTCAACCATGGCAGCAGGGAAAAGTTTATCAGACGCTTCGGCTAGTATGGCAGGGGAGGTAAAACTTTTGTCAGGGTCGTCACCCTTTGTGGCCGGTGTCTCCCCCATGCACTCTGCCATGGGCAGCTCATCGTTGCCTCGATCAAATCCCGTCATGTTCTCTGCAGCTCCAATGTCTTCCTCCTCCTCTCACACGGGAATGGCCTCATCCAACCCGCCGGCGTATGAATCATCTTCGCTACCACCGCCATACTCCCACCCCGCCCACAGCTTTGCAGCACCAGATCACCATAGACACAACCCCGTGAGCGGGAAAGACTCGAACCACAACCCATTCACATTCCCCACCTCGGGTCTGACCGTGATCTCTGACAGCTCGGGCCACGGCTTCACAGCGTTCGCGTTGAGGTCGGGGACCGGTGACGGTCCGGCACGGTCACTTCCCGAGGGGAGACTGGCGTCCACGGTACTGAGCAAGGCCCACTCAGACACGTCGGCGTTGAACCACAGCCATAAACACAACAACTCGGTGCCGACCGAGGCTATTCCCAGGCTGGTGCCTGAGGCTAGTGTCAAGCTGGAGGAGTTACAAGGTTTTAACCACATCCAGGAGGCAAAGATGCAGGACGAGCTCTTGCCCGTAAGTACTGATGAAAATTGGCACCATGAGATGGCAAAGGGTGAGGGTTTAAAGTTTAGGTAACTGTAAGATTATAATCTGCTGTCTTTTCTAATGAAAGGCTCTTATGATTTGACAATAAAACCCCTTTCCAATATCAGGGGATACCATTTCTCTTGGGTTTTTTTCCCTGTTGTTTTAATTCTTTTCACACTGAATTCTGTTTTCAAAATTCTTGGCATTTCATTTCTGTTTAGCCCCGCAGTAGTTGTGTTCATAAACTGTTTTTTTGTTTGCCACTGCCGCTTTGTAAATTCTCAGTTGTTTTCAAGAAACCTCAGTGGCATCGCTTCAATATCCAGTGTAACATTCCAGGGAGACATACAACGTTGCGGTCTGTTATACGGGGTGCCCACTACGGCTGGATCGGGCCGATCGCCCTACTCGATCTCCTGAAACTGAAAACAAACACGTTTGTTTTTGAGGCAATCGAGTCGCCTGATTGGCCGATCCCAGCCGTAGTGGGCACCCGTATTAGACATACAGAGTACAATTCTTCTCCTACTCCGTAACTACTGTTTTCTGAGTACTCTTTTTGCTGCTGGGTGGACTGAGAAGATAAGGATATAGTACAGTATATTTTTCTTCAAAAGGACATCCCATTTCTAAAGTGCATGTGGATTCTGATGCTGTGAAATGTGCTGACAAACTTAAAAATTTTTCTTTGGGATGGCAGGCTTAGTCTTAGGAATTCTCTAGCAAACTAATTTCATTTTGTAATTATAGGTTTGATTTAGGTAAAAATATTAGCACTGCAATATTAAGAAACTACATAAGTTGTAATCTTTATTTTATTGTGTTTGAATGGTTATGTGGTGTATAATGAGGTGAATTGTGTCTGTAAGTTGTCATTCTTGCAATTTCCCTTGCCTGTGAAGATAATCAAAAGAGTCACAGAGAATGATGACAATGATGTACAGAAGAGTGGGAAGACATGGAATAGTTAATCAAAAGAGTCACAGAGAATGATGACAATGATATACAGAAGAGTGGGAAGACATGGAATAGTTAATCAAAAGAGTCACAGAGAATGATGACAATGGTATACAGAAGAGTGGGAAGACATGGAATAGTTAATCAAAAGAGTCACAGAGAATGATGACAATGATATACAGAAGAGTGGGAAGACATGGAATAGTATCAAGAGGTTAGTCCAGGATAGGGAAAGGTGGACAGTGTTTGTTTGTTACTGGATGAGAAAGGCAAAGGTGATGATGTTCCAAATGTATCTCCTTCTATCCCTGGCCATCAGATCCAGCCGTTTAACCAAAGGATCAGCAACCTGTCATGTTTCCCGGTCATGAACTCCACCTACCGTGCTGCTTACCGCTCCCATGCTGTGGCTGTACAGAGGGCCAGGTGAGTCCATAACTGTGTGCTGACAAGTTCAAAATCTAAATAAGATTTTATACTGTATTATCCCAGTGGGGAATTTTTTGTGGCTTTACAGGAATGTGGTATAAATTCATATTTAGATCTAGATATACACATAAGATTTAGATTGTATATTACTTGCCTAAAAGAATTTTTATATAAAGAGAGAGTAAAAGTAGTACAACATGTTGCATTAGATACATCTCTCAAAACACATGCAGGTATTCAACAGATTTTTTCAAAAGCCATTAACTTATTTCATGTAAAAAAATTCAACACCAAAACGTATTAATGTTCATTTTGAGAGCTGCCTTATTGCTGTTAGTATTAAACTTGATGGTAGGAAACACGTCTGAGCTGGCGGGGATTGGGATGGGGAGGGTTTTGCTTTTTGTAATACTTTTCTTTCAAAGTCTGATAAATGTGGAGATTTAAATGCTATCTGTCTGCTTATTGTCTTGTGAATTTAAGATTTCATTGCCATCCTCCTTGAGGTTTTTGTTGTTGTCTTGGAGTGTGCTTGCATTTGTTTATTTTTATTTGTATTGGGCTGCAGAAACTTGCAGCCATGGCATGAGTTGGGGGGGGGGGGTTGTTCTTGACCCCTTGTAACTGCATTTACAGAGACAAAAAAACATCAAGTTGATGGAGTGATTATTGAGTCTCCAATAGCAGATTGTGTGTATGTCTTCCCTCTCTGTAAATGGGTGGGTGGGTGATGATTGTTCTAGTGTGGTTTTACTTTTTAAAAAAATCGAACTTGAAATCACTCTTTCCTCTCTTCCGTCTTTTCTTTGTATGTCTCTCTTCTAACACCTTTACTTTTTGGCACTTGTATGACCTAATTGTGTTTCAAGTTCTGTAAAACTCTTGGTAGGACTAAAACTAAATTCTGGCAAAATGTTGTGCTAAATGGAGCTGTCTACATGTCTCAATATGATATGAAAATGTTGAAATAAAGTTGTGATTGCAAAGTAAAAGTGTTCTCCTTGTGCTCCTCCAGGGCTGGGGTGATCATGAGCACAGCCAAGTCCCTAGATGTCCTGAGGCAGAATCTCCAACGTAACATCAACAAAGAGATCAGCGAGATCATCAAGAGATACACAGATGTCAGTAACTTGCTCAGCAGGAACACCTCCATATACCTCCTTGTTGTTTTGTGGGAAGCTCTGCAGCTGAGTCTTTTTTGGCTTGTTTGTTTTGTTTTGCTTTGGGGTTTTTTTTTGGGTGTTTTTTTTTAATTGGAAAATCTGGTTCATTTGATAGTCAAAATGCTCAAGGCGGCCACCCATTGTTAGGAGAAAAGTGGTTTTCTGAGACAGACAAGATCATACTTTTAGAGATAACTTCTAAATTGTCTTACCAAGACAGGTGTGCATCTGGGAAAGACATTTAAAAAATGCACATACACATTTGGGAAGTTGTCGTTAAAATAGATAATTGTTTTGGACAGATGGCCGTCAGCGCAGGTTCAACTGCATAAATTTATAATTTGTGACCACTTTGGAAAGCTGTTCAATTGTTAACTTTTGTTGGAATCACTGTTTTGTTGGAACAAGAATTGGTAGAATTTTGACAAACCGCAGGTGGGTAATGTTTCTTTATGTGTTGACCAGATGGGTAAATATTCATTATTGTAAGCCAAATATTTGATAATGTTTCTTTATTTGCTTGCAGGTTGGGTATAAGTCCTTTAAACATTTTTAGCACCATGGTAATAGATTTGTTGTGTGTTTGTAGGATGGTTAATGGTTGCTCTTTTAAAAAAAAATCTGTCCTCATGTGTGCTAATTCTGTTCAGAACTTATTTTTAAAAATGTTGAGTTTATGATTTATTTCAGAAATATTTCCAGCCAGCTTTGGAAAACATCCGACTGAACAACAACGAGGGTTCTCTTGGAGATGAGCACATTAACTACGTCTGTCGCCAGATTCTGGAGGAGGTGGGGAAAAGAAAATGTTTTTAGAAAATTGTATCCTTGGCACTCAACACTAGACCTTATTTTCTTAATTTTATTTTGATGAGATAGTCTTTCTTGTTTAGGCAACCCAGGACTTATTTATGAGTGCCTTGAATAAAAGAAGGAACGGTTATAGAATTCTTTATATTTATTGGGTGCCTCAGAGATCGCGGCAATAATTGGATTTGCCGCGAAGAATGATTAGTGGCATAGGATTTATGATCTAATCTTAATATCCACTGCTTGGTGTGGGACTCACCCATACTCCATTTTGATGTGCGATATATGATGGAGTCTTACACTGAAATGTCGGTATGTAGTTGGGGCTGAACTACTGTAGCTGAACAAATCGTTTTGTCTTGATGCTTTATTTAGGTAATTTCTGCCACTTTTGCTTGTAGATGGGTGCGGAGAGATTTTTTTGTTGTAGATGATTTATGTCCCTGCTGGTACAGTTTAACTGTATGGTGTATGTCATTTTGGAGGTGCATTCCTTTTGTGTTGCTGTATATGATTTATAAATCACTATATATATGTCTCTGCCAACGCAATTATTTTCTCGGAGCTGTAGCGATGCTGGTATTGCTGTGACATTGCTGTTTTGTGTCTTGTTTTGTCCAGGCCAAGTCGGAGTACATGTCCATGTCGGGCCGTCGCAGCGCCACTCCGTCAGACATCCCAGACAACGTGTCGGACAGTGGTAGCACCAGCGGCAGGCGCACGGTTGGTACCACAGGGATTGTTTAGCAGCTTTGTAGTCACAGTTTTGTTTTGATGATTTGTTCTGTGTGTAGGAGTTAGCTGTTCTGTGTGTGTCACAGTTTGCTGATTTGTTTTGTTAATGACTTGTCAGTGAAAGGTTACTTCATTTATGCACAAAGTTAAACTGTTTTGAGATGTCTGGACTTCGTACCATGATGGTATTAATTTGATATTTTCAAACAAATAGCCCAACAGTTTGAAGCTTGTAGAGTGTGTGCGGGTTGGAGACGCCATTTAAACGTTCAATCCCCCCCCCCCCCCCCCCCAAAAAAAAGGATAAAAGCCCAACAAAAAACAAGAAAACCCAAATAAACAAAACAAACTGGTTCATCCTTTAACTTTTTCTTTAGCCTCCTTACTATGTCGCTTGATGTTTACATGCCTATCCATGACCTCTTAGAACAAACAAACACAACTTATGATTTCTGATGATGGGTGGTTTGCGGACGCTTTGGTGGGGTTTGATCCTTTTACAATATACATCAATCATCCTTATTTCTCTTGCGTCTTTTCTTTGCGTGCCTCTCTAGTAACACCTCCTAAATTGGGCACTTAAATGAAAACTCTAACTTAAACTTCACTAAACTGATCTATGATGTTGTGTACCCTCACAGTTTCTGAAGCGAGGAAGGATCTCGGACAGCGACTCTGAGCGAGGCAGCGATGGAGGCTTTAAGAGGAAGACTGTTAAGGTAGGAGTTGTGACATAGCAAAGATGTTCAACTTTACATACCTAGTGGGTGTAGCAGTGAAGAGATTCTACTTGGATGGTTGGTGGGTTCTTTAGTAAGGTTTGCTCCTTCTTTCCTGTCAAACATCTATCATCCTTATCGCTCCTCCTTTTTTTGTGTTTATTGCTGTCTTACAACACCTCAAATCTTCAGCATTTTCATGACTCAACTGTGCTGCAAGTGCTCTAAAACGCTTACTAAAACTAGAAAAGATTCCTCTTAATATACCTAGTGGAAGCAGTAGTGAAGAGATTACACTTAACATACCTAGAGGGTGTAGTAGTGAAGAGATTGTATTTTACATACCTTGTGGGTGCAGTAGTGAAGAGATTGTATTTTACATACCTAGTGGGTGTAGTAGTGAAGAGATTGTATTTTACATACCTTGTGGGTGTAGTAGTGAAGAGATTGTATAGCAATGCCCACCGAGCGCGTTTTGTTCTGCCGATTTTTGGCCCCCGCAGCGGGGGTGTTTCGTGGGACGCACTAACGCAAAAGTTGTTGTCTTCAACTCGCTCTCACGCCGCTTCTCGTGGATGGATATGAATGAAACTTGGCAGCCAATCAGAAAAGAGGTCAATCTCGTAGTATGCAGTTTGACAACATTGTACCCATACTAGAAGCAGTCGAAAACGTTTGTGAAAGTGGTTGATGTGGTGCGCTTTGAAGGTTTTTCGGAGCTGTGATTTGTCAAACTGACTGATACGTTGTACACCATTTTTCTTTATTCCCTTAAAATTTCATGCTTCTGTGTTTAGCGGTTTTGGCATAATCTTTAAAAATGTGGGAGTAACTAAGGGAAAAAGCGACATAGCCATTTGCGCGTGCTGGGTGAACGGCCGACGGCCTGGAAATTTCCACTGAGTGACGTCATCAGCCATCGGTCGCCTCGGGCGCTACAAACGAGGCCCCGCTTATGTGAAATGGAAAGGGGGGGAAGGATACTTGAAAACTAAACGGGGGCCTTGATAACTTGCGTTTTTGTTGCATTTTAGTCACAATACAATAGATGTAGTCATTTTTATTTGCTTGATTGCATGACAGAAGAATAGAAATAGAAAAGCAAACATCTTGAGAAGTGGTATGGCATTGTGTTTGCGTTATGAAAGCCTATTCCCCCCTCTGGGGAAAGCACACACTTGGACTCGTCCTCTGTGCTCTGTTTGAAAAAGTGAGGCATTAAGATTGTTATTAAAGAGTATGGTACTTATTTAGTCCAGTCTGGGAAGATAGTCCCGTTTATACATTGTTATCGTTCACACGTGAGTGCGTGAGTGCGCGCGCGTGCATGTGTGTGTGTGTGTGCGCGCGTGCGAGAGAGAGATAGATAGAGAGAGAGAGAGAGAGAGAGAGAGAGAGAGAGAGAGAGAGAGAGAGAGAGAGAGAGAGAGAGAGAGAGAGAGAGAGAAGGGGGGGGTGTAAATATATGTTACATTTATTGTATGAGTTGTAGCCTACACATGCGAAATATTCCCATGACGTGTAAACTATATTATCTGAATGCATCTTAATCTACCACACAATAGGACACTGTCCAACAATGGAATATACACTGAGACGATCGTATTGTCTATAACAAAGTAAAGTATGCATGCTTTTACTAGTACAGAACTGGATTTATTAGTTGCTCTCTGCTTACTTTTTTGTGACAAACATTATTGATCCAGAACATTGCTTGGCAAGGAGGAACTTTTTATGTTGCCAAGTTTCATTCAAATATCATGACTTTGGGAGAACATATGACTGATAATCTTTGTAAATCTGTAAAGAACGCCACTTTTTTACCTGTTAATGTCTTTACAACTCAAAAAGTATGACAGATATTAAAAATCTGACTGCATGACTAGATTCTGCATTAAAAAATGTACTAGACTGCCAAGTTTTATTTACATGTTCCAAGAAATGCGAGCTATGACAAATTTTGTCTCAAAACGCACTGAAAACGGCCATATTTTTACCCATAAATGTCTTCATAACTCAAAGAATAGGATAGCTATGAAAAATCTGAAAGCAGAACTAGATTCTGCACTAGAAAATGTACTGTGTTGCCAAGTTTCTTTTAAATACTCCGAGAAATGAGCGAGTTATGACGAATATTGTCTCAAAACTCACCAAAGAACGTCCCATATTTTGGGGTTTTTTCATTATATAAAAGTGTACCAGAAATTAATTGATTAAAAAATCCGTAACTTTTTTGTTTATTGATGGATTTCAAAAATTCAAAAAGTTCCATGCTCTGTGAAGATAAAGCTACAAAATGCACCTATTTGCAAACACTTTATGGCAAAAAAATGATTTTCGTGGTCATTACTAGATTGTATTTTACGTACCTAGTGGGTGTAGTAGTGAAGAGATTGTATTTTACATACCTTGTGGGTGTAGTAGTGAAGAGATTGTATTTTACATACCTAGTGGGTGTAGTAGTGAAGAGATTGTATTTTACATACCCTGAAGGTGCTGAGGAAGGAAGAGATTCTGCGTTACATAGTGGGTGTAGTAGTGAAGAGATTGTATTTTACATACCCTGAGGGTGCTGAGGAAGGAAGAGATTCTGCGTAACATACCTAAAGGGTTCATTGCACCTAAAGTGGGACTGTATGTAATATATAGGCTGTAACTTTTCCAGAAATTTCCTCTGTAGAATAAAAAGTTGTTCCCACATCCGATCCGGGCATTGGGGATTCCCTTGTTAGTGAGACAACTTCCTGGGCCTTAAGCATATTGTGGTAGGGTGGCCAGTTCCTCTCCATGCTGCTTTTACTTCCCCAACTCTTAAGTCAGGTACCCATTACTGCTGGGTGAGCAGGAGGGGGCAAAAATAATCAGTGTCCGAACTGAGGCTCTGTAGGGTACGATAGGTTATTGTGCTTTAGGTAAAATATTCTTTCTATTTTCTTCTTTTGTATTTTAGCGGTGGTTGGGGGGGGGGGGGGGGGGGATCTTGATAAACTGGACTTGACTGTCGTTCATTGTGTAATCACTATGATGACTGTTTTGCTTTTTTCTTTTATTCCAGAGAAAAGGACGTCCACCTGTCCACAGCTCAGGGTAAGAAACTGCCAGGTTCATAGCGTGGTTGGTTGGCGGGTGTTCTGGTGTGGTTTGCTCCTTCTTTCCTATCAAACATGTAACACCCTCATCTCTCCTTTTTCTTTTTCGTTGTTGTTTTCTAGTAACACCTGTAATCACATTTGTATGACCTTATTACATTGCAAGTGCCTTAAAACAGGTATTAAAACTAAAACCCAGGTTCACAGAGACGGTGTAGGATCACCAGGTGACCAATGTGAGAAAAGCTTATTTCATCCTTAGACAAGAAAGTGCAGTGGAAATGTCTTTTGACTTCAATTTAAATTCTTTTATGGAATTTGAAAGCATTTTCAGTACTTGTCTTTTGTTTTTGAAAGAGATTGGTCGCGAGCGCGAGAACGGAACTGAAACACCATTCTTCCCTGCGGAACACGATTCACGATTCACTTCAGAGAAATTCAGAACAGTATTGCCTTCCGATTCCCGATTCACTCCCCTGTCGCTGTCACCATCTTGCTGCTTGTTTGTAAAACAAAATGAAATGGGCTCCAACCAACTGACAGAAGGAATTTTATGGAGCCATTGTTTTAGTGAATCATGGGGGGGTGAATTTATGGGGTTGCTAATTGAGGTCAGTAGAGCAGCATAACGAAGGGTGGCGGGGCAAAAAGAGTGGGACCCGCGAAGTGTCGTTGATATGACACTGTTCCGTTTCACGCATACAACGAGCCCGAGGCTTTGTGTTCCTTGAGCACTTGCGATTCTTTGAAGCCAACTGAATCGCGAATGGCCGCTCTCAGATTTGGCGAGCAGGATCCAGCTCTAACTCGTAAACACATTTCTGAGAGAGTGTACTGTTTTGTGAATAGATGTGTGCCAGTTGGTTTTTGAATCTCAGACCCTTCAGTATGTGAATGGCGTGTTATGATTTTAAATGATATATTCTTTTTCTTGAGATGGTGGGTGGTTGGTTGGTGTTCTCATGTGGTTTGCTCCTTCTTTCCTAACATACTTCTGTTGTACATAGCTCTTCTCCTTCTTTTTCGTGTTTGTTACTCTCATGTATCGCCTCTAATCTTCGATACTTATATGACCTACTTGTGTTGTAAGTGCTGTAAAATGCTTATTAAAACAAAAGAACTATCCTGAGAAAAATAGTGAACGAGATGGGTAAAGATTTTGACGTTTGGTGATTTGTTTATTATGATTTGCTTCCTGTGAATTTCAGAAGAGCGACCCCGTCCAAGCAACCTGTGAAGAGGGAAGGGCCTCGGGTAGGTGCTCTCCAACTTTTTAACGCTCTTTCATAACATATTAAAAACTCTAGGGTTTTGTTTTTTTACCCCGCTCTTGCCTTTCAAATTGGCAGATATTTCACAGGCCCTTAGCTGGAGACAATCTGACCTGTGTTTTCTTTTCAGTTTGACACTGAAGAAATGAGGTGTAAAATAATTTTGGCTACAAGAGTGAATCTTCTACTTGAAAATTTTTTAATAGGTTGGGAATGCCTTTACATATTGTAATCATTTGTGCCTCTCTTAGGTTGTTGTATGCACGCACAACCATTTGAAAGTTAATAAGGTATGAAACTCATTTTTTTCAACTTTGTTTCTACTCTCAAGTATGTGGTTCATTAATATGTTTGAGAGAGAAACAGAGACAGACATGCAGACAGATTTTTTTTCCAACTTTGTTTCTGCTCTCACTACTCTCAGAAGCAGAGACAGACAGACTGACAGACAGGCAGATTTTTTTTTCAACTTTGTTCCTGCTCTGTTCTTGTGCGATCATTAATATGTTTGAGAGAGACAGACAGGCCGAGAGTGAAAGAGAGACTGAGAGAACGTTCTAATGAGTAAATTCTGTGAGAGTAGAGATGGAGTAAAGTTTGTGTGAGAGTGGAGATTTACACTGTAGACCATGGTGATAATGTTTTTGTGTGTTGTTTCCCCAGTGGGACCCGGTGCGGCTCAAGCCAGACACTCTGTTTGTGATGGGGGCCAGAGCCAACAAGTGAGTATTGGGTCGTCGTGTTCTCCTTGTGTGTGATCAGTGTGTGTGCGTTAATGCGTGAGAAAGTTAGTGAATGAGTGAGTGAGTGACTGAGAAAGAAAGAGAAACAGAGAGACCTACCGTAAGTGAGGGAAATGTGTCGACCACTGCAAATAATAAAAATTTCGGAGTGGATTTCTGCGCAGGTTCCGGGCGAAGGAATTTGGTCGATTAGCCCCGCCTGGCCTGCGGCTTCTGGCCCTTGGGGATTTCTGCGCATGCTCCTTTAAAATTGGCGTGATCAATCGCGCAAGATTCAGCCACACTCTCTCTCTCTCTGCCCGAAGACAAAATTTATCGCTTTCAACTCGGCGCTGGAATGTTTGTTTACGCTCGTTTCACGGGCCGTCATGTGCTAAGAAGACGAGGTAGACCAAGCGCCCTAGTCTCGTTCAGATGTGAGATAGGGCAATTGAAATATCTTTGTCGTAGTTGGACAATCTTTAATAGCATCACGGCGCTGCGTTTCTGACCCTAGCCACCCTAGATCGGGCGAGTAGCCTGACTCTAGCCGCACGACATCGGGCGAGTAGCATCGGCCTAAAAATGTCCTTTTCCTTTCACTGAACACAAATACAATACCGGCATCTGTGGTGTAGTGGTCAGGTGCTTTGCCGACTCATGAAGGAAACCTGAGTTCAATTCCCGTGTGGGAAGAATTTTTAATTAAGTATCTTGGTCTTTCTACTGGAACAGTGTATCCATCTCAACTTGGGATGGCTCTGATAAGCAGGGTCGAATGCTGCCTCCTAAATGATCTTCATGAGTGGTTGGTGGGTGCTCCATTGTGGTTTGTTTCTTCTTTTTTGTTACACATGTGTCGTTATTGTCATTCCTCCTTTTCTTTGTATGTTACTCTCAGGTAGTTGCACCTCTAAATTCTAGCATTCATAACTAAACTTTGTTTGTGGGTGGCTGACATGTGCTCTTATGTGGTTTGCTCCTTCTTTCCTGTCGAACATCTATGACCCTTATCTCTCCTCCTTCTTTTTTGAGTTTGTTATTGTCTTGTAACACCACTAATTTGCGGCACTTATACGACCTTATCGTTGCAAGTGCTGTAAAACTCTTCTTAAATTTATATCTAAACTTTGTTTTGTGACACAGGGCGCTCGGACTGGGCAACACTCGAGGCAGATTGTACATTCGACATCCGGAAGTCTTCAAGGTCAGTGTTTTTGTTTACTGTACTCTCTGAAAAAAGTGGATGGATTTAACGCCCTTATCAATGCTATTACGTTGTTTCGGAGGAGGGACCTCCGAATTTAACGTCTGTCTACAATAGGACGAGTGAAATGGGTTGAGAGCCTGGAAAACTCCCCAAAAGGACCTGGATTCAGGAATGTCAAGAATGTGTTTGTTTTTCATGTTCACCATTGAATTTAATGAAATTTGGGCGAATTGTGCCGTGATGGTTTGCCAGCTGTCCCGATTTTCCTGGAACTGATAGCAATCAGGATTTGAAAGCCTTTTTACATTCACTGCACAGAAACCAGTTCCACTTAATGTAATTTTGCGATCGTTGTTATGTTAATAAGACATTATAACTTTGGTGTCCTTGATTGGGTTTTGAAAAAGTTGGCTAGCCTGCATTGCAATAATTTGTATGGTCAGTGTGTCTGGGTTTGTTTCATGTACTAAAAAATCTAATTATTGAGACAGTTTTACTTTTGAAGTCTTTAAGTTTTACTTATTCTGTCATTAAAGTTTTCTCGAAACAATAAAATCTACACTAAAAGTGAGCATTGCCCTACCTATAGGAGAAGTTTGGTTTCATTGGTGTGTATATTTGTTTGGTTATAAAGAAAACTCTCCTTGTCTTTTAAAGAAACTGAAC